CCAAAGTGCACACACCCCCCAACCCCTCCACAGCTCCCCCACCCCCTCCCCCATGGTTCGCAGCCCGCCTGCCAGTCAGCACGGACCTTGAGACAAGGCCTCGTAAAGATGGGCCCGCCACTGAGGCGCAGCGTGGGCACTCGGAAGCCCGGCAAAAGGTCCACCTCGACTCGCTCGGTGCAAAAAATAAGCTCAGGTGATATCCCCAACAGCATGCGGTGCTCTTTTTAGTGCTCGCACCGCCCCGCAACCCTCGCAGAACCTCGTGGAACCCTGGTGGAACCCTCGTGGAACCCTACCTCAGGGCCGCCCCGGACCACCCCGGAGCCTATCTGGGCTGAGAACCCAAGCTTTCAGCTGTTGAAGAAAAGAACAAAGCGTCTGGCCTATGGTGGAAAAACGCACCCCCATTCTTTACTCTTATTTTGCTGGTGTACAGCTTTCCGATTCTCTTCCCTGTGATGCCAGCGAGGCTGATGCCCATCCCCATGCCCACTACTATGGTCCAAGCCTGACAAGGACATGCTGCTGGTGCCTTCTGTTGAAACAGCAGGATTCCGAATCTAGCTTCCCCACACCAAGGGAAGCTCGCGTCAAGTGGAACATTTGCCCAAAAGCTGCTCTTTGGATGGCTTGACATTTGCAAAGATCTCCGGGACAAACCAAGGGAGCCTCAATCACTGTGCACTGCGTGGGTTACATGTTCGGATTTCGGAAGGCCGCCCCGGCCCCATATGCGCGCGCATTTGCGAATACCCGTTTTGGCACCTCCCAAAGCTGCTGCAGCAGCTCGCTGGGCTGCTCCGACTCCTTGAGCTCCAGCTCCAGCCAGCTGCAGAGCGGCACGAAGAAGTCGCAGGGGTTCTCCCACCTGCGACACGCGACGTGTGCGCTGAACCGGCTGAAGTCGAGGTCACGTCCGGGTGCGAACCTGGAATTACCGCATGATCAATGGATACCAACCTTTGCTCGCCCCCTCTCAGTTCGTACAGTATGATGCTTCGAAACAAAGGCAGCACTTGATCATGGGGAACAACACATATCAAAGGCACGGCACCGATCACGCATGGCAAAATGCAGGTGCGGGGCGCTGTGCTGCGAAAAGCTACCAGGCAAAAATGGCTTCAACAGTTTGCCGGGCAGCCGTGATGTGCACATCTCAATCGCCCCTGTGGACATGGGTTTCGTGTTGATGTGGCCTCACTTGTTCCAACACATCTTGCCCAACCCTTTTTTCCACCCCCCCCCTTTTGGTCCCGTGTCGACTCGACCACCCAACAAAAAGTGTCCAAGGCGCTGGGTGGCCTGTGCTACCAGGCCCTCACGCCAGGCACCGCCGCGGTACTGCAGGACCTTCACCCAGTGGCTCAGATCCAGCACCTGCACAAACACAAAACTAGGAAAACATGGGAAGAAACCTCAGGGTCCCGGCTGGCCCCCTTAAGGGGCACAAGGGAGCTTCGGCTAATCCCAGGTTCTCACTCCGGATGAAAATTGGTTGTTTACTACCCCATCTCATGGGCTACCAATGGTTTCGCCGCAGCTCCCAAGGCATCAGCCTCGAGGCCCTTTGCGTCCGCGAAGTGGCGGTCGCCTCAGGGCGTGCTCAGTTCCCTTCACACCAAAGCTCCTCCCAAAAACAAGGTGACACGGTGCGAAAGCGTCACCCACTGACTGACTGACTGATCTCCCTGGCACAATGGCTCTGACACTGAACTGACTGACTGCCTGCCATGGCTGCCAATGTGCTGGCATTCTCTGCATGCAGAATAGCTTTTGGAGTCACTCAAGTTGCAAAAGCGTATGCAACCAAAACAGCGCGCCCCCTGAGCTTGCCCAAATTCTGCAGCAGCTCTCGGTCTCATTCTGACCCAAAAGGACATTCTGCAACCCTTGCGGTCGCTCAAGAGAAAAAGGCGGGGTCCGCATAACCAAAGGGGCATCTCAAATCAAACAGCGCAGGCCTCTTCCCCTCTTTTTGCAAATAGATGGCACTAGCACTGGCAGGTCATTGTAGCTTTCCAAACTGGTAAAGGGGGAACCGCCCGAGAAAGGACCTTCATGGTTTTTCGCTCTTTTAAATCAAGCCGCAGAAATTCGTGAAGATGTTGCCCGACCTATGCTACGCACACGTCCTCACCAGGTTCCCTTACAGCACGCTGCCCAACAATCACCTGGTACATGCTAAAATTAAGTGGTGAAGCTGCTTTCGTATGCCTCAATGTGCACCCTTTACAAAGCCCTCCGGAACCATCCCCAAAAGTGATATGTTGATAACCCCTCATCTCTCTTAACCAAAAGGGTCCTAAATCTAGGAGCGGGTCAGCCGTGTTCTTTTTTTGGCCCGGCGCGCACTTCCCCACACCGAGCGGCAGCTCGCCAGCAGCAGCTCTAAGGGGATCAGCTTCGAGGCCTGGCGCGCCAGCGGCGCCTTGGGCCGCGCCAGGCACCGCTTCGGGGGCTCCAGGGTGCCACTCTCCGTCTCCACGCAGGGCACCTACGGCAAGATGTCCCCCGCGTCTTGCCCGGGCCCGTTTTTCTTTTTTATTCCCCAAATAGTGTTTACACTTAGGGGTTCTTACGGTAAGAGATAAGGCCGGGTTAGATCGACGGTTTGCGCTCAAAGTGCTGGCCCTGTGCGTACAAAGTTGTCTTTCGATGCAACAGTCTCGCGCAAAATCATGGCAGGCGCAATGTTTCGCTCCTTTGCAAGCGTTGCAAGACGAAAGTCATCCCTCTGCGGGGATCGCGTGTGTCGAAGCGCTCTCGCTGCCGAGCGGATGTGTCTTGAGGCTCGGCGAACCCTCTCGGGAGATCGTGCGTGTCGAAGCGCTCTCACTGTGGATCGTATCGAAGCGCTCTCGCTGCGGCGACGTGCGAACGTGTCTCGAGCTCGGCGACCCTCGGCGTGGCGCCGCGCGACTGCGTCTTGAGCTCGGCGGAGACGAAGCGCGCTCTCGCAGCTCCGGCTGCGCAGTCGCAACGCTTACGTACGCAAAACGCACTCCCGCAGCTCCGGCACGAAATTCGCAACTTCTAGGCACAGAAGCAGTTTGTGGAGCTCATTCCCTCAGCTCCGGCTGAACGCTCGCAAGTTTTTAAGTACAAAAGTAGTGCGCGAAGAGCACTCCAGAGCTCCGGCTGCAAAATCGCAGTTTGTAAGTACACAAGAAATTAGTACAGGAAGCGCAGTCCTGCAGCTCCAGCTTGAAATTCGGAAATCGCAACTTTTCAGCGCAAAAGTGGCGCACGAAGTGTGCTCCCAAGCTCCAGCTCGAAATTGGCAAGTTAAGTACAAAAGTCGCAGGCGCAGTGGGCTCCCAAGCTCCAGCTGCAAATTTGCAACATTTATATAAGTATCAAAGGAGTGTACGAAGTGCGTTCCCATGGCACGAGACTCGCAGCACTTAAGTCCAAAGTTGTGCGCAAAGCGCATTCCCGCAGCTCCGGCTGCAAAATGGCTACGTGTAAAGGTGGCGCACGAAGCACGCTCCCGCAGCTTCAGCTCGGAAATCACAACTTTGAAGTGCGAAAGTATTTTTCGGAAAGTGCGCTCGCGCGTCTCCAGCCCGAAAAGTCGCAACTTTAAATGAAAAAGCAGCACGCGAATTACACATCCGTATCTCCAGCGCGAGAATCACAACTTGCGAGCGCACAAGTAGTATGCCAAGTACACTTCCGCGGCGCAGCCAATATGGACAAGCGAGATTTTCAAGAGATTGGCAAGGGAGGTGGCAAAGCATCATGCGCAGGTGCGCATCATGCGCTGCACCGTGCGAAACGTCGCGCGACATCATGCGCAACATCACGCACAGCTTCGCGTGCCGCATCGAGCCACAGCATCGCGCGTGCGAGAAGCTCACAGGGGAGATTGTGAAGCATGATGCTAAGCTTGCTCATCAGAACTCGCAGAAGCTACACTTGAGCAGGGACATTGACGTGTTTACGATTTGTTTTTCACCAGGTGGGGGAGGTGTCAGGGTTTATGTAACGCCTTCCTATGCTTCCGGGCCACCTGTCGTCAAGTTAGACCCAATACTATTTGGGGTCTCTTGCCGGGAAAATATGTTTTTGTTGTTTGTTTGTGGTATGGCACTTCTGGGTATGCAAAAGTGGGCTGCAACCTTTTTGAGCAGGGCTGCTTAAAAGGTAGCTTGTGCGGACACCTCGAGAAGACGAATAAACGACACTGCGGCAAAATGAGGACCCTCTCATTTGAACAAAATCTTGGAAAACAATCCCTACGGGCCCTGCGAGCACCGGGAGTCCCAAATCCCAAAAGCGAAACAGCTTCCCAAACCTCCCGCAGCCACTTGAGAAAAGGGGCTACCTTTTTGCAGTACTTGATTTTGAAGGGAGGCCTCCCTCCATAAGGGAAATTGGGCATCCTTCTTTTGTCTGGCGAGCGACTGGATCTATTCCCCACATCCGATCCTGGTGCCTGGGTCAGGGCCTCCACCAACTCCCTACGGACGTGCTGCCAAATGGGTCTGGGCACCTTGGTGCAAAACGCGGGGAGGCGTGCGCACGGCCCGTGCGGAGTGCCTTATGCGAAAGGGGTCCTGGAAAATCTGCTGGTGACTTTGGACAATCGGCTCACAGGTATCCTTTCTCTTCTGGGCCTTGTGTTTGCAAGCGAACGTGCCCAATTGCTGGCATGTTGGCCCCCGAATCTTGTGCGCTTCGCCGGCAAAGGCCGACACACCAGCTATTCCAACTACCACAGATCCGATGTGCTTCTTCCACGGCGCCACTTCGGTGCCCAGAAGCATCATAGCCTTGTGGCTGAGCCAGTGCCCAGCCATGAACTCCTGACGCCAAGCCACGGACTCTAAGTGATTTCTGTTTTGATGGGAACCTTTTTTTTGGTTTCCTGTTTGCTGTTTTTTCTTGTCGTGGAACCATCCGAATGGGAAAACCGCTTTGAGACATAGCCTGCATGGCACGCTCACATAGCCGCGGGCCCTGTCAGGAGAAGGGCCCAAATGAACAGCGCTAAGTGGAAGCTCAACATGCTGTCCAACTGCTTCTCTAGACAAGCCTTCTAGGCCCTGTGCACGTGGCATCCAACTTTGCTCATGGGCTCAGTTCGTTGAGGGCTTCCTCTGCCAAGCGTCTTAATTGATACCAAATAGGTGCAGCTTGGTCAGAGCTGGCACTTTCGGACACATGTCACACATGACGCTGGGAAATTCTTGGATGGTTTTATCACGGCACGGGGTTCAAAGCACGAGGCACAACTTGTTGGTGCTGCCCAGTACCCTCAGTGCCCCGCCTGAAAGGCCTTGGGGATGTTCTTGCAAATGAGCTGGTTCAAAGCACTGCCTGCAAGGGAAGATGCAATGCGCATGTTCGATCGCGGCACGACGGCACCACGGCTCAGGGAAGCATGTCAATCCAAAAGCTCCTTGATGCGCCGTTTTCTCAGAGGACCAAAAAGGAAGACTGACAGTGGAAAGAAAGCATTTCCATCTTCTCAGCATTCTCCAATGTTGAGATCATGTGCCGTGTTGTGCCTTGTGTCCTCCGTTCAAAAGGAGAACTCTTTGTCAAAGGCCCAGCGTGCCGCATGCATCCAGTCTATCCCCATTTAGCTCACCCCTGCCTTCATGTAAATCCGCACGGCTTGCCACTAGATCAAAGGGAGCATCGATGGCGAAACCAAAGCCAACAGGCCGCACCGGCAGGCCAACGTGCACAGCCATGGCAGAAAACGCCTCTGTCTCCAGGGGGAAGGCCAATCTAATTGAAATCTGCTCTGCCGATTCCTCCTCCTTTGGGAGGCTAAAATGATGGATGGCAAAGTGACGATGCTCCTCCAGACTCCTGGAATCAGCGGACTTCACAGAAACGCAGTGGCCCTCCTGAGTCTCAGCCTCTCTCTGGATCAACACCTTCTTGCCATCTGGGTAGTGGAAATGAATGCGATGTAGCTGCTTCAAGAACAGCAAAGTCACCCGATGCTCGCAAAGCTGGTCAAAGGCATCCACGGTGCCCGAAAAACCCGCATGGAGAGGCAAATAAATCACGGTGCCGCCGTGTGCATGGGCCTCTCGTACCTGCGCAGGGAGCTCTGTCAAATCCTTGTCTGTCAGCCAGGTCGGCGTCACATAGCCGAGCGTTTCCAACGGGCCCGCAATGTCGAACTTGAAGGTGTAGGCTCCTGACAGGGCCCCCAAGCCACTTAAAGAATCCAAAGTGGGTCCCGAACCACGGGAACTGCTCTCTGATACCGAATATTCTGGAATTGAAAAAAGTTGGGACGCAAAGTGGCAACTCCGCATCTTCAGAGTCATTGCGCTAACTAGCGGCAGGACAGCCCCGGCTGAAATCAGCGCCTCGTCACACCCGCCCACCCAACTTCCTGATAGCACGTGTGGAGTGTTGGATACGGCAAAGGTACTCTTCCAACCGATGCCCTTCTTGCCAATGCATCCGGACCTCAGGTGGTCAAAGAAAGGCCAGCACTCAGGAGAGAGCTTGCGTCGCATCCAGACTGCATTGGCGTCAGGAGGGGCACCTTCCAAATTTGCCTGGTCCATGCACTCCTCCTGCAGCAATCGCACTTGACTCAAATGCCGTTGGCTACTACCCGGTATGCATGAGGCTGTCTTACATTGAACTCCTTTGACTTTTTGGTTTTGATGGCGGCTAGCAGAAGCTCAACTGCGCCAGGGTGCTTCTTCAGACTGGCGTTGATGTCGCACATCGCCACCACGTCGCTGTCCCGCAGGCCCCGCTCGTTGTTCCTCGACAAGAAGAACCTTGGTCGGGCTACCGGGCTCCGAACGGGGCAACCGGCGTGGGCCTCAAGCAAAGTAAAATGATTCTGATCTTTCTGAGGGGGGCGGGCCAGTCCTGCCCCCCTCAATTGGGTTGATTTTTAAAGTAGTAACAATCTGTATGTGGGTGCAGCATCCGGGAGCCACGTAGAAAGAAACACTTCGCAGCATCTCCACACATCAAGCAGTGAATCAGGCTGTCACCCTTGCTCCCTCATGCATCCTCATACTTCAAAAATTGGCGGTTGGTTTTCGTGCAAACGTCTAGGCTCAGAAGGGTCGGCAGTGAAGCAGGCCGCAATTGGCGGGCCAAGCAGCTGACGCCCGCCCTCCTCACACAGAGACATCTGAAGCTCTCCTTTGACCCCGTGGTCATAGGTGTTGTCGTCGGCATTTTGCACCAACTCGAACCTCGAGCAAGCCGCGGGATCACGTTCAAGCCGCTGGGATCCCGTTCTGACAGGCTGTATGTGGGGCTCCTTCTTGAGATTGGCCTTTAACCCTGAAAATATCCACCTTGGGTTTCCCAAAAAGACGCAGAACAAAGGCACGTGGAGCTCCAAGAGTGGACACCTACCGCGTGGGCAGAATGCCATCTTGCATGCCTGGAAGTATAAGTTTTGAACTTACTCAATGCAAGAAACTTCTGAACTTGACACCTACATGCTCAGGCCGTGCGGTGAAATGTCCTGTGCAGTTATGTTCAGAAGTTTGCTGA